ACACCTGGCTAATTTTTTGTATTTTAGTAGAGACGGGGTTTCATCATGTTGGCCAGTATGATCCCGATCTCCTGACCTTGTGTTCTGCCCACCTCGGCCTCCCAAAGTGCTGGGATTAGAGATATGAGCCACCACCCAGCTGCAATTGCTCATTTCTACAAGTTGTCATGACATTCACTTTAAGAAGGTCTGGAATTATATCCTTTCTTACAGCATCTTAGCAGCAGTCTGCTTATGCCCCCAACCATAACATGGCTGTATTTTATGTTGTGGGCCACAGTATCATTCAAGATAATGTGTCTTGGAGAACCTCAATATGGAGAACTCTAGGCAATGCTTTCATACAGTAGACTTATTTCTTTATTTACCACTGAGCCCAGAAGATATTCAGTCCAGCTCCTAGTAGTCTTTTTCTCTCCTTCCAAATATATACTTTACTTTTTGTGTTCATGGCTTATAAAACCAAGTTTACAATTCCAATTCCTTGTACTAAACATGAAGATGTGTATTTACTTTAACTAGAGATTACGCACTTAATTATGAAGAGCACAAGCTCTGTAAGTGAGTGTCAGTTTGTGGTGACTTGGAGAAGTAAGGAGGATCAGTCAGCATGACACATTTCTCTTTGTACTATTGTCCCAATTCCCAGTCTCTTTCATGCAGCTAAGAGGTGGGTGACACTGTATCTGCATATATGTTTAGTTTGACTCAGTTTCATCTTTTCTTTGACCTTGAAGTCTACCACTAAAAATAACCTCTGGCCATTTTTTAATTAATTGGTTTAACCATGTGGTATAGTTGTATAATCAGTTGAAATCAGTTAGTGGGTAGAATTTAAATATAAAGAATATCTATGATGGTTGAAATTGTCACTTTGAATAGCACCACAATTTTATATGGGAGTTGAATTTAAAGTATCTCCAAAATATGAGAATGTGGGGATATAAAATATCAGATTTTGCAGTCTGCTGATATCTCCCAAATAAATATCTTTGGAATGAGGACCAAAGTTGGATCATATTCATCTATGAGTCTGATCAGCTATTCAAATGCAGATATAACAATATTCATACCATTTCTTTAAGAAGGGAGCAAGCTGTTAAAATTACAGCATACCCATATAGATTATGAGCTCTTTGACTAGACTGAAATCTCTAGTAGTATATAAGCATCTTGATTTTTTCTTATATTTCTTTCACTGTGTATGTTTTTCCCAGAATGTAGCCTTTTATTTTTAATTTTTTAAGTCTATTTGTTTGCTTATATAGATAGCGTATAAATCAGTTTTAAATTATATAACACATATGTGTATTTTCCCCAGTTCTAGACTTTGTTGAAAATCTTGTACTCAAAAATATGTAGTCTAGTAGGGAGGATAAGAAACAATTTGATTCCAAACAAGCAAGCAAACAAACATGATCATCTCTTGACCAGAGGAGAGTACATTTATATTTGGGGTCATAAATATAAAGTGTAAGCTTGATCAGTACTAAATATATATAAACTTTTTGATTTTTATAGTCACTCAAATTGATTCTGGTTATGCTAGCTCTCTGCAGCACTTAATGTTTTGTGAATGCTATGTGATAAATTACATGTATGTAAATAGTCTTTTAGATAGCTGGGCTCTATGGTGTATTTTATTTTAGCTATCTGTAAAGGTTAAATTTACCGCTAGAATTTATTGCTTAATTACTAGTTCTTCATTTTGCCTTGTGTAAATCTGACGAGAGAATGCTTTTGAAACCATTTTTGGGGGGAATTTATTCCAACCTTCTAAGAACATGTTTGAGAACATTTTCAATTTCTTTATTATTGGAATGTCTATGATATTCATTCTTCTTTTACATTTATTATTAATGAAAATAGCTTATATTAAAAATGGGGGATTTTTGAATAAGTTAAAAATAATTCCTATGGTAAATTAAAACTAAAAGGCTAATTGTTCTTAGTACTTAATAAACTGTTCTTAAATATTAGGCTACTATAACTGAATAAAATAAGTCCTAGAAATACCTAGCATAAGAAAGAAGAAACTGTGTTTTCAGGCTGGAGAAACATACTAAAGTAGTTCAATTATAGTATGTCTAGAAGGTACAGGAAATGCAGTGAAGTGAGCTCTTGGGACTTGATGAAAGAACAAAGAAACAAAAAAGAAAAGAAAAATGGGAGCTGAAGTTTAAGCTGAAGAACAGTGAAGAGAGAACAAATATAAATACCTTATTCTGTGTTGCTTAGAGGAATATATGCTGCTAATAGAAAGGGTAAGTTTAGGAGTAGTGTTTCTCAAATGGTGGCCCATAGCACACAGTCCTTTCACATATTTATAGGAATTCCTGTATATTACAATTATCTTTTCAATTCAGTTATAATTTAAACATTAATATAAGCATATTCTGAATTAACTGCTTGACCATTATGTCAGAATACCAAATCTCATGCCTGTATTGTGTTTCCTTTTAGCACTGTACTGTAGCACTACTGTAACTTTATAGCAAATAACAAAGGAGAGACAGAGGCTTAATGTGCAAAGGACGCATCTGAACTAAATCCAATCCTGTAGTGTCATGCTAGTCTATGCAACTAACAGTTTCATAGTAGTTTGAATAGAGGAAAATATAATTAGTTCAGTATTAAGTACATACCTGGCACAATGACTCACCTTGTCATTCCAGCATTTTGGGAAACCAAGGCAAGATGATTGCTTGAGGCCAGGTGTTTGAGTCCAGCCTGGGCAACACTGAGTGACCCCATGTCTACAAAAAAAAAAAAAGAAAAAGAAAAAGAAAACATTAGCTTGGTGTGGTGGTGTGCAACTGTAGTTCTAGCTACCTGGGAATCTGAGGTGGAAGGATCGCTTGAGCCCAGAAGTTTGAGGCTGCAGTGAGCTTATGATTTTAATGCTGTGGTCTAGCCTGGGTTACAGCCTTTTCTCTAAAAAATAAATTAAATGCATTAAAAAAATTTAAAAACCTGTAATGTTGGCCAGGCATGGTGGCTCACGCCTGTAATCCCAGCACTTTGGTAGGCTGAGGCAGACAGATCACGAGGTCAAGAGATCAAGACCATTCTGGTCAACATGGAAACCCCATCTCTACTAAAAATACAAAAGTTAGCTGGGTGTGGTGGTGCAGGCCTATAGTTCCAGCTACTCAGGAGGCTGAGGTAGGAGAGTCACTTGAACCCGGGAGGCAGAGGGGAGGTTACAGTGAGCTGAGATTGTGCCACTGCACTCAAGTCTGGTTACACAGCAAGACTACACCTCAAAAAACAAAACAAAACAAAACAAAAAACCTGTAATGTTGTCAGTTAATTTTTAGATAGCAAGCACTGATTTCATTCAGCATACTATTTTCGATTACATTTTATCGATGTGATTATTAACTTTTTTTAGTATATAATATAAACTACATTTGGGTATTTTAAATTTTAATTTTATTGTTGCTAAAACTCTAAAAGCTTAATGTCTTTATTCAGGCATGACTCATTTTATTGGGCTTCACTTAATTGTATTTATAGATATTGCAAATCTTTTTATAAATTGAAGAATTTTGGCAACCCTGTGTTGAGCAAGCCATTTTTCCAAGAGCAGGTGCTCACTTTGTGTCTCTGAGGCACATTTTGGTTATTTTCTCAATATTTCCAACTTTTTCAATGTTATTATATCTGTTTTAGTGATCTGTGATCAGTAATCTTTGATGTTGCTATTCTAATTGTTTTGGGGCACCATAAGCTGTGTCCATAGAAGACAGTGAACTTAATCAGTAAGTATCATGTGTGTTCTGAATGTTGTACTGACTCTCCTTTCTGCCATCATTTGTTGAGTTGTTGGCAGAATTAAATTCCTTGTAATTATGGGACCAAGCTTTGCATTTTCTTGTTGGCTGTAGCTGAGGGCTATTTCCTAGTTCTAGAGGCCAGTGGCATTCCCTGGCTTGAGACTCCCCTCCTCATATGCAAAGCCAGACACAGTCGTAATGGGGAGTCCTTCCTATTCTTTTTTTTTTCTTTTTATTGCATTTTAGGTTTGGGGGTACATGTGCAGAGCATGCAATACAGTTGCATAAGTACACACAGGTCAGTGTGTTTTGTTTGCTTTCTCCCCTTCACCCACATTTGGTATTTCTCCCCTGGCAATCCCTTCCCACCTCCCCCTCCCACTGGCCCTCCCCTTTTCCCCCTATAGACCCCAGTGTTTAGTACTCCCCTCTCTGTGTCCGTGTGTTCTCATTTTTCATCACCTGCCTATGAGTGAGAATATGCGGTGTTTCATTTTCTATTCTTGTGTCAGTTTGCTGAGAATGATGTTCTCCAGATTCATCCATGTCCCTACAAACGACACGAACTCATCATTTCTGATTGCTGCATAATATTCCATGGTGTATATGTGCCACATTTTCCCAATCCAGTCTATCATCAATGGGCATTTGGGTTGATTCCAGGTCTTTGCTATTGTAAACAGTGCTGCAATGAACATTCGTGTGCATGTGTCCTTGTAGTAGAACGATTTATAGTCCTTTGGATATATACCCAGTAATGGGATTGCTGGGTCAAATGGGATTTCTATTTCTAAGGCCTTGAGGAATCGCCACACCGTCTTCCACAATGGTTGGACTAATTTACACTCCCACCAACAGTGTAAAAGTGTTCCTTTTTCTCCACATCCTCTCCAGCATCTGTTGTCTCCAGATTTTTTAATGATCGCCATTCTAACTGGCGTGAGATGGTATCTCAATGTGGTTTTGATTTGCATCTCTCTGATGACCAGTGACGATGAGCATTTTTTCATATGATTGTTGGCCTCATATATGTCTTCTTTTGTAAAGTGTCTGTTCATATCCTTTGCCCACTTTTGAATGGGCTTGTTTGTTTTTTTCCTGTAAATCTGTTTGAGTTCTTTGTAAATTCTGGATATCAGCCCTTTGTCAGATGGGTAAACTGCAAAAATTTTTTCCCATTCTGTTGGTTGCCGATTCACACTAGAGACTGTTTCTTTGCAGACGACATGATAATATACCTAGAAGACCCCATCGCCTCAGCCCAAAAACTCCTGAAACTGATAAGCAACTTCAGCAAAGTCTCAGGATATAAAATCAATGTGCAAAAATCTCAAGCCTTCCTCTACACCAATAACAAACTTAAAGAGAGCCAAATCAAGAATGAACTGCCATTCACAATTGCTACAAAAAGAATAAAATACCTTGGAATACAACTCACAAGGAATGTAAGGGACCTCTTCAGGGAAAACTACAAACCACTGCTCAACGAAATCAGAGAGGACACAAACAGATGGAGAAACATTCCATGTTCATGGTTAGGAAGAATTAATATCGTGAAAATGGCTATACTGCCCAAAGTAATTTACAGAATCAACGCTATCCCCATCAAGCTACCATTGACTTTCTTCACAGAACTGGAAAAAACCACCTTGAACTTCATATGGAACCAAAAGAGAGCCCGCATAGCCAAGTCAATTCTAAGCAAAAAGAACACAGCGGGGGGCATCACACTACCGGATTTCAAACTATACTATAAGGCTACAGTAATCAAAACAGCATGGTACTTCCTATTCTTATGTCTGTCTCTGACCCACTTTTCTTCCACTGCCTTCCATGTTAAGGATTCATGTATTAGATTGAATCTACCCAGACGATGCAGGGTAATTTCCTCATTGTCAAGCCCTTAACTTTAATCACATCTCAAAGCCCATTTTGGCATTTAATGTAAAATAGTAACAATGTATGAGAGTTGTCTTGGACAATTTAGGGAGAATAGGGACAATTTAGGGAGAATAGGGGCTACTACAGTGTCTAAGAATTCCTCTGGTAAATCTTAGTTACTTCAGTTCTCACATATAGAACACTATACCTGAAAAATCATAGATTTTTCTTGTTAAAATCCATTATTACTTGAAGTACTAACCTGAATCCTATGTATGTTCTATAAGACAGGAACCAGTACTTTTCTGCTCCCTATTACATCAAGACGTGGCTGAGCAGTGGCTACTTTGTGAGAGATGGGGCAGAGAAGAAAACAGACTTTGGAAAGAACTAACAAAATAAAAAGAAGTTAATGTATATAAGGGATGCCAAAGTATTGCTTTTTGTGTGTGTTATCTTCCTAGCTACTTAACATTTCTATTCCCTTCTATAAATTTGAAGAATGTGATGAAATACATGTATTATTTTTGAGTTTATCCTGTTTCTCCCTGATGAAATACTGATACTTAAAAATATACATATATATGTATGTGTGTGTGTACACACACACACACACACACACACATACACTACTCTCAGTATGGTTGTAATTTTTTAGGGATTCTAAAAACTCTGGAAAAAATTCCTTTGTGATTTGAGTGATCCTTCTTCTGTATATCCAACACAGGTCCCCAAAGTTACTTTTTTCTTTGACTCCATAGGTTGTATTTTCCCTTTCTTCAGTAAATAAGACATGAGTTGTTATTAATCTGTTTTGAATTTTTAAAGTACTTTTTGCAGTTTTTAAATAAGGCAACTACATTACAATTAGAAATCACTTTATTAACCCTACATTTCTATATTACATTTGGCCTTCAGACTACTCTTGTCAGTATATTGGGCAGGTAACCTTTCCTGTAGGAGAGAAAGTCAGTGAGGCTCAATATCACTGAATATTTTAACTATAGATTTAAACCATTTTTTCTTGCCTCCCAAATCTCTATTCCCCTAGCATGCAAAGTTGTTGAAAAATAGGATTCTTTTTCCCACTGAATATTCAGAATGTGCTTTCCTTTTCAAGAAAGGTCCAATTTTTTTCTCTTACATTTTTGTTTTCATGTGGGTCTATAAGAGACTCATGAAGAGAGCTTTTTTCTTTTAAAATTGCAGATTATTTTTCTAATCTTCCCTGCCAATTTCTTCCTCTAAAAAGTTTAGTTTAAAATGTATCTACTTTTGACAAATTCCTCTGATTTGCTCTACTATACAGCTTTTTAGTAATTATATCTCTTGAAACACGCACTTGTTAAATTATTTTTTATCACAAATTTTGGAAACCTCCATAATATTTTGTAAGTTTTTATATGTTGTGTTAAAAAGTCAGAAATTAAAACCACGCATGTGGTATCACTCACACACACATCCATACATATCTGTTTTAATATCCTCAGAGTACATATCAGAGAAAAAGGCATGTAGGATTACAGATTTCCATAACAGTAAACCAAGTCAGATTATTTTTAATGCTAATTTGAGAAATAACTTTTTTGTTCTTTTAATATGAAAATGATGTGTTTCCATTATGGAATATTCTGAAAACTGAGATAAGCATAAATAAGAAAATACACATAATCTGTAATTTTATTACCAGATTACTATTGTTAATATTTTACTGTATATTTTCAACCTGTTTACCCCTCTATCTATATATATTATTTGAATTAAGAGGTTGATGATGCAATGCTGATTTAAATGTAGTTTGTTCTTATTAAACAGACTGTGATGATAATTCTATATTACTGAATAATCTTTCACAATATAATTTTATTTGCTGCATGGTATTCTATTTACTTAAGCATTCCTATCGATTTTTATAATAAATATTGCATATATTATAATAAAGAAATGTGTTAAGGTATAGGGATTATTAAACAGAATAAAATATTACTACTATTCCAGTGGCCAGGATGTATAATTTAAAATAGTTCAGTTTGTATCATTTGTATAACTCTGGATTTTTAACATTTTACACACTCAACAATGTTGTGTAAGTACATTATTGCAGTTTTGCATGAAGCATCAATGATATATATGTTCTATGAAAACATATACAGATGCATAGTCTAGATGCTATTTTAGATTATAGTTTTTACTTTTAAAATAACATAATTATTTTAATTGAAATAATTTTGGTCAAGGTCCTTTTTTCATAGTTCTGACCATTTTAAATGAATTTTTAATCATAACTGAACTAATTTATACTCCCACCAACCTGTCTTCACTGTACTCTGCCCAACAATTAGTTTTATTTATTGTTTAAACATGTTTGCTAATTTGCCAGAACAGAAAAAACATACAGTTTATAATTAATTATTAGTTAGATTGAACATTTTAAAGGTGTTTATTTCTTCTTTTATGACATATTAGTTCAGATCCTCTTCTGGATTAACCTGCTTGTTGACATATTTACTCTGAATATCTTCCTATTTATCATTTAAATTTAACTTGTTTTCCATAATTCATTCACTCTTTCTTAAACTAAACAGACTTCTCCCATTTAGAGATTTGTTATATAGCAGTTTCATTTTATTGTTTTATTTTAAATACAGTGAAGAAATTCTTTTATTTTATTTTTTAAAACAAAGCACTAATTAATTATTTCTGTATATTCTAATTAACATATGTAGTTTTTGCTGAGTAGATATCATACATTTATTGTTCAGGGTATTTTAATTCCTATGACTGTTTATATTTTCTCACTGTTACCGGTACAGAGAAATGTTGCTGAATTTTTCTGTTTTGTTATCTTCCCAGACATTTAAATAAGATTTTATTATTTTCTGTTTTTCAGTTTATGATTTGCACATAGTCATACTTTCTCTCATAGTTGTAACTCTTAAATCTGTTTAAAGTCTGGTTGTTTTGTAAACCAGAAATAACATTTTTTGGTTTTGATTTTGATGCAGATGGCTTCAGTTACTCACCATAAATAAAATGTTGTCTAGTTGGGTATGATAGGCTGTCTTACCCTAAATATTAATAAAGAGATTACTTATTGATTTCTAATTGGGTGATATTAAACCTGTCATATAAATTTTCAATTCTATGAAGATATTCTTTTTCTAAATTGATAAAATATTTTATTTTTTTAGAAATTCTAACATGAATCCATTTTATATTTCTGAGATGAGTCTTTGATAGGCTGGTTAATACTGTTTTTATATTTTGATGAATTATATTTGCTATTATTTTATTCAGAAATTTAAATTTTCTATTTTTTTCTATTGTGATTGGTGTTCCCAAAAGGTTATAATCCTTTTGTTGAATCAAAGGATGTTTTTCCTCTTTTGCATTCTCTAGAAAATCATTATTTTTCTTTTATATACATTGTAAATATAACAGGTGTTATTTAAGTCTTTTTCTAAAAGCATTTCCTAAAAGTATCCTAAAAAACAGTTATTTAGGTCCTTTCCTAAAAGCGTTAGGAATTCATGAATAATTCTCAAGTACACTAACAAAACTGTCATTTTATAGAATATTATTTATCTTTAAAATGTCTCCTGAGTTATTTAAACATTTTTAAGTTTACTTCTAATGGATATCTAAGTGAAAATTGTTCTTGGCTCCACCAACACCTAACAACTCCTATACAAAACATGTTTTTAAAATTTCTTTACAACTTTTATTATAGGTTCAGGGAATACATGTGCATGTTTGTTATATATGTGTAAATTGTATGTCTTGGGGTTTGGTGTACAGATTATGTGTAAAAGGAGTTTTTTTCTACTCAAATGTTAAATTGGTAGATGATATAAATTCGATATAAATTAATTTTTAGATTAAAATATTAATATTAACCAAATGTCTCCCATGGCTAATTATCTTTTCAGTATGTTCACGATTTTTGTTTCTTTCTTTTTGTTAAGTATTTTACTTAAAAATTATTTTCCATTATATTGAGATGATCAACTTTGTTAGAATACACTGGTGCATAATATCATAATTTCTAAATATTATTTACATGGGTTATATGTAACTTTTAAATCCTAACTTTGTGCTTTCTACCTCCGACATTTAAAAAATGTTTTGCCAGAATGGAATCTTGATTAATTATCCATTTGACTCCTTTTCATTGTCATCTAAAACCATATTTTTATGTTTTTGTCCCTTGTCTCATTGAGATTTAGTCATTTTGTGAATTTGCCTACTATGTGTGGGCATTCAATACATGTTAATAGGTTTCTTTCATTTTGGATGCATTCCGGAAAATATGCAATTAGATGTTTGGGTTTTATTTTGATTATTAACCAAGTGAGCAAACTTTCAAAATTTCCAAAGTGTATTTATTTATTTAATGGACTTCTTATTCATGACACTCCTGTTCCCTAATGTTTATGGTTCCAATGTTAATATTGTAACATATTCTCCCAAAATATATTTTAAATGGGTGCACATTATGACAACATATGATTTTTAAATGTTTTCATAAATATACAATTTAATCCCTATCATACTTGCATTAATGTAATTTATTCCTTGGTTAATACCCTTGTTAGAAATCTTTATGCCCACCTTCAGTTATTTCTTAGAATAAATTCTCAGAACTAGTATAATTGAATGAAATAGACACAAAGACATAAAAATATTAGTGAGAATTTTGTTTGACTATACATACTTTAATTTCTTCCTTTATCATGTTCTGTTTAGAAAATGTATCCTGTACAATTTCAGCTTTGAAATTTATTTCAAAGGTTTTTGGTGACTCTCTGTATACCTGAATGTATACTGCACAATGAAGAAAATTTTGTCTTTTTTTTCTTTGTGGTATCACAGTAACTAGAAGAAAGCCTGGCACGTAGGAGACAACCAGTATAGCGAGTGGCTTTTAAAAAATGTTTAGTCATTCACTGGAATAAAAAATTATAATATCTTTCCGTAGAGTGCTAAGTTCAATATACTATAGCTATTAACTCAACTTTATTAATTCTATTATTCGAATTCTCTATAATTTTTCTAATTTCTATCTTTTAAACTAGCTATAAATTGGTAATGTTTTCCCCAATTGTATTTTGTTCAATTTTTCTCATACTTCTAATAGTCTGTGATCAGTGTATTTTGATAATACCTTTTATAGCATTTGAAGGAACATAAATATACCTTTCTAAGAATATTAAGTGATCGACAATTTTTCTCAATTTTTTGATACCTAATAATATAGCAATTCCTCCTTTTTATGTTTGGATTTGCTTTATGCTTTTGCCTTTCATTTAAAAACTTTTCTTTCCAAGGAATGTTCATCTTCATGTATTACTACTCTTCTATTATGCCTCTCATTCACCTCAATACAAATCCCATTCTTAGCACAGATACTAGGTCATTTTATTTTTACTTTCTAATCTCTTACCTATTATCAGATAAAAATGATCACTTAATGTATGAAGAAACATATGAGTGATAAGGTCAATTACTGGTAGCAATCAAGACATTGGTGAAACAGCTGTTAACTATATTCTGCTGCTAGGAATCATGGGAAACTTGACCTTAGTTATCCCTACCGAACTTGTGCTCAGCTCTGCCTTTGTTGATTGATACTATGCCTGTGCACCATAGGAGGGTTGTGAATAAAGCACGATGTTTAAGTACTGACTTATAACTTTACTTAAGACAGTAGCCCAGGTTTTTATAAAGAATGTTTTCTATAAAATTCTTCTTTTGGTTTGTTTGCAACTTATTAAAGTGCATGATATTCTATATACAGTCTGCTATTGTATGTAATTTGAGACAGTCAGGTTGATTGTAGGCTGACATCTTTCCTGGTCCCTGTATTAGATTGTCTGTCTTCATCTTTAATATTAATCAAAAGATACAGTCTTTTCCAAAGTCCAAAATTGTGCCCGTATATTCTATGAGATATTTATTGCACTTTGTCCCTATGATTAGAATGAGAAGGAACTAGTGTGATCAGTTGGTTATTTGGCCATTAGAAACAAAGAATGACAGTACTCCATAATCATTATGGACAATTGATACAAATAGTTGTGAACATAGCAGGTGTATTGAAATGAATTGGTCTCTGCCGTTGGCCTTAGTGTTTGTGTTTCAAGTGGTTCTCAATTGACTGTGACTGCCATTCAAGGAGATGTTTGACAATGCATGTAGACATTGTTGGTTGTCACAGCTGACCTCAACAGAGTCGAGGCTGAAAAATCTGGTCTGTCATATAAAATCAGGAGCATTTTTGAAACAGTGATATTCATTTGAACATATGTAATAAATGGTACTATAAAATGGAAACATTAATGATGGAATTTGTATGATGGATTTGTCTTTTCCTAACTATTGAGTCTTTTTTTTTTTAAGGAAAAGAGATAATACAGTGAGAAAGAATATATTTATCTTTCATTTAGACATTTTGTGCCTACTTTATTACTAGTAAAAAACAAGTGAGATAATGAGAAATTGTGTGAAAATGTTTTGTAAGAAGCAAAATAGTATATAAATGTAAGATACTATTGCAGATGAAGCCAACAACTAGTTATTGAAAACTTATCCTGTATGAATCTATGGAGATTATAAATGGTGAATGATCTTTCATTCTTTTTTGTGTAAAGAGACTGAAAGTTGGAGACAGGATTAATATATTTTATAAACACAAGTATTAATTTGAAACCATGTTAAGGTATATTATATAACTGCTATGTGCAACAGAAGGCTGAAGGTCTTTGCCCATGTTTTCCTCATCTTAATTTCAACAGAGCAGATCCCATCATCTATTAGAAACATACTGAGTTTCTGTATAGACTGTATTTGAAGAATAGGTTAGTTGCTAAGAAAACCAGGGAAAACACTGGGTGATCTATTCTCACTTATTTGATAGTTAAAACTGAAATTTGGAGGATGGATGACTTACTCAGGACTGTGTAGCTAGAAAATAATTGAGCAATCAGTGAAATTTACACCGCTCACTACTTAGAGCATTTCTTTCAGCATATTGTATTAAACTTTATTTCTGGTAAAGGAATGATGATCGGAGAGAAAGTTGGAACATGTTTCAGTTGAGCATATCTGTTAGTTTCTGTAGACTTACTGTAATATAATTTTTTATTTTGCCTTATTTTGGGTTTTTGAAGAATTTGTTTAAGAAAGATAGAGTTATTTACATAGATTATTGTAGAGTTTCATTCTCTCTCTCTCTGTCTCTCTCTATATACTACATATACCCATATACATATGCATATATATATATTCCATATATGTGAATTTATACACACACACACACATACACATACATACGCACAGAGACATGGATTATTGTGAAGTTTCACTCTTTTCTTTATATAAAGCTATATATATATATATATATAGATAGATAGATAGATATACACACACATGAAGCTATATATATATATATATATCCACATATATTTATGTATACATCTATAATTTCAATAAAAATAGATAAATTTTATAAATCACTGTCATATCCAAAATCAACAGGAAAGATTAACAGTGAGTTTTCTACTAAAAAATGGTAATGAGTTTTGTTGGCACATTGTTAAATCATGTATGTCACATTCATTGTAAAAAGAACGATACCTTGTTGTTGACAACCTATCTGTGATCTGTTTTCTCTGCCCAAATCTTTTTTTCAATTCTTTATAATATAATAAGTAACATGATATAGGGCAGACATATTTTCCAAAAGATTACAATTTTATAATAATAGGGTGGTTAAAGTGTATTGGAGCTAGAATTAAATTGAAATGCTCTCAACACTGGGTGTGCCTGCATATAATTAATATTCTGGTCCTTACTTTTTCCTAAAAGTGTTAGAGGATGGATGATGCAGAATATATATTTAGGAAATAGCAATTAGAACTATTTCCTTTATCAAAGTGCTATTGCCAAGCTGAGAAGGAGAAGATAGCTTCAGAAATGTATTTTTTTATATTTTATTTTTTAATGAACTTCCTTTAGAAATCATGTGAAGCTATCATGCCTTCTCCACATACCTAGGATTATGAACAAATTTTCCACTGTTGAAAAAATATTTAACATGTTTCATATACAAAACTGAAAGTTTTTCTGCCTTCTCTTAAAACATGTATTATGCCTTAATAACAAGTGATTAGGATCCAGGAAGAGGAAGTGTCACAATGTGGTATGCCTCATACCTTCTCCAAGAATCTGCATTTTACCAATATCCCCTCTTTTCTGGCTCAAACAGGAAACTGATTGAAGTTTTGAATCATCCTGATGGACACACTGTCTTTGTCATTGCCCTCATTGTCACCATCTTAACAAGCAACCCCAGCATGAAATTGAGTACCTACTTTTACTGCCTGCTTTGAGCTTTACATATAGTACTTCATTTAATTTTTATAGCAACCTTTTTGGTAGTTTATTAACATTCACCAAGACACAGAAAAATTAATTATTGAATCATTCAAGTTCATAGCTATGGTAATTATCAGATTCTCATTTATTACCAGTTCTCTTTGATTTTAGATGCTCGTTTTTCTTCATTACTGATTACCACATTTTAACTATTTATTTTTGTTTTAATATTCACTACAATGATGCAACTAGAGCCCTTGTGAAATAGCTAACATTCTGGAATATTGATAACATCCATGAAAAATAAAGCTCTGATGAATGATGGGATATGGAACTAATTCCAGATATATAAACTATCTAAAAAGTCAAAAACTAAGAAGAGAAATTTGGGATCAGCAGAACTAAATAAAATATTAGCACTATGTAGTGACAGTGTTATGGAAAAGTAAGGACAGCATTGTTCTGAGGTTTCAAGCTAATAGTCAAAATGGGTATAATTTTTGTAAGTCTGGTATTCACCTGAGGCATGACACACATTTGTAGATTTTATAGAAAA